GCCCTTCCAGACACATCTCCTTTAGGACTTTTTCAAATCTCTTGAATAGCATTCCTTTCCCCCAGCACAAATGCACGTGCACCCACTTAAATGCAGCTGCCTCCTCCAGCTTCTGTAGCCCCGGGATGATCACCTGTGACCTTTAAGTTGTATTCTGAATAGTCACATGCTTATCTTTGTTCTGCGGTTGTTTGCATGTGGGAGTTGTTTTCTTTTTGTGACCCCAGGATTCAGCGCAGAGCCTGGGCCGTAGTCCATACTCAGTAATGCTTCTTGAATAAATGAATAAAGGCATGAATGGGTGAGTGACACACCAAGCAAATACTTAAGAGCCAAAGCGCATTGCTCTTGTATGTTAGCACATCCTGAGAAGAGATGGGAGGGAGCTTTTGAGTAATGGCAAATCATTTTTCAGAAAAACTTCAGAGAACCTGATTTTGAGCTTTTCAAAGTGTGATGCGTATCGAGACTGCTGTCAGGACCAGGTGAAAGCTGGTACCGGGTCTTAAATATCAGGGTAGCGCGTCTGAGTAGCTGGCAGGGTGGCTCTCACAGTTTCAGCAAGTGGAAGGAGTGATTGTAGTAGTTTAAAGAAAGCAAGCCTAATGGGGCAGGAGCAGGATCTGAATTTCTGATTGCACGTCACCACGTAGAATTAAAAAGTCTATTTTCCCACCAGTGGCTACAGCTTTGTAAGAATTAAATGACCACTAGTAGGTGTTGCGTTTTTCTCCTTTTCAGTGAAACAGCTTGATGACGTTTAGTTACCATGAAAGAGCCCCACCCTTTTCCCTGCTGAGGTCCTGAGCTCCCCTTCAAGTGGACGTTTCCAGATTGTCTTGATGACTTGGTCCTTTGACAAGCTTCCCAGCCACTCCCTGTTCCCTAATACACCTTTCTCCCCCTGTTACGGGATTACAGAGCCTATCATGGCCGCTGAATAGTGTTTGGAACAAGATGCCAAATGAGTGACCTGGTGAGCAGCACTGGTGGTATTTTTATTGACATTGTGGAGAGTAAGCACATGACATGCCGATTGGCCTTTTCAGTGGCTAAGAATTTTCTGCTGAATGTAACAGGCATTTTGGCAAAGGTATCCATACATTGAATGTAAGGAATAAGCTTGACTTGAGTCATGTTTTAGCTTAGTGATCTAACTGGAATGGGTGAAAAGATGGACATTCTGCACATCACACCACTAGTCTTCCACGTGGACTCAAAGTACCATCCCACAGGCTCAATTTGGATTTGCCACGTTGCAAATGTTGAAGGTGTGGGGCCACTGCTGTGGTTGAGTGAACAATGCTGACGATGGTACAAAGACAGCCTTGCCCGTGCAGACAAGGGTTTTCTTTCCCCTCCTTCTCAGGACACCTTTTGAGGAAAGCCTGTAATATTTCTATCCCAGCTAAAAACCTGCCATCTCTACTTTGAAGTGTTTTGCCTTGAAAAATTAAATTGCATTATCCATCATCAAAATGAAAAGTTGGACTGCTAACCGCCTAGGTCTAGCTATCATGGTTTACCTGTATTATCACCTCTCTTGGATACACATCACATCTCAGAATGCTATGATTTTACATAAAAGCATAAATTGCAGGATGAGGGAGAGAAACCTTGATATGTATTATGCAGGTTTACAGAATGATAGGGCCTATGACTGTCATTGGAGTCAGAATTGATCTCGACTCTTTATAAAAACAACTAATTGAAAGCCAATTGACTTTGACCGATGAGATTCAAGATGAAATTATCCTGCTCCTGAGCCACTGTCTGTAGATCTGACCATATATCAATATGCTGGATGCTCAGTTATTATTAATGGCTCAAGTATCTGATGTACTAATGGGACTCAAATTAGAAAAAGAAAACACATATTCTGCTCTTACCTTAAGTTGTGTTGCCACCATATTTAAATGAGGCAGGATTTGAAAATGTTGTATCCAACGTTCATTGTGAGTCAACAGAGTCTGCAGTGGAAGGCCACACCTTTCTACTGTGGATTAAGCAAGTCATTTAGAGTCATTGGGCTTCCTTCATTCTCCCTTTCTTGTAAACCAGAAGGTTGTAGGTAGACGCATTCTTGGCTTCCAGTATTTTTACCCATTTGATAGATTCTGCTCTTTGAGGTCTTCAGAGCTCTTTAGGCACCTGGACAGTGTGTCGTAGGAGGAACAGCGTCGCACAGAGGCACAACTGGGCTCTGATCCAACTTTTCCTGGAGACTTCGTGGCCGTAAATGAGAAGCTGGGCTTTAAAAGTTCATTGCTCTTCACACTTGATTTTTAAGCAGTGGAACTTTCTACAGAAGAAACCTTTCCTGGAACCCCAATATACAAAAGCAGTGGAAGTAGAATTGTTCTGAAGGAAAGCCTGGAGCCCCACTCATGGCTCACACCCTGCATTCTAGATGGATCATGAATATTCTTTCCAATTCATAAGTTCTGATGTTTCATATGAATTTCAAATGAAGTTGTATTAGGACTAAAGAGCCATTTCATGTGATGAGAAGCTAAATACTAAATGGTAATGAAAAGACATAAGTGGGGGGGTATAGGTTAGTGGTAGAGCACATGCTTAGCATGCACAAGGTCCTGGGTTCAGTCCCCAGTACCTCCATCAAAATAAATCAAATAAAAACCTAATTACCCTCCCTAAGAAAAAAGACTGGTTAAATTAGTTAAAAATAAAAAATTTAAAATTTAAAGAAAGAAAAAAAGAAAAGGTATGTACTTTCCAATAGGTAAGGGACCTACACCAGCAAGAATTATACAGTTTGTGATTCTTTCCAGGGATTTGTTTCTCAGTACATAAATCTCATTTTAATGTGAATATGCTCTTAATGTTCAAAACAGAAGTGAACCTTTTGTTTTTTTGTTGTTTTTTTTTAATCACAAGGCAGAAACTTTATTGCGAGATGAGCAATGAGACGTCTGTCCTATATTGAGGACCATTTTCAATAGAACGTTAGGTTTGGAGGGACGTGGAAAAGGATGGGTCTGAGGCTGACATTGCTCCTTTACAGAAGTGAACCTTTGGTACAACGCTGGTTGTATCATGACGTTTATTGGTAAGCTCTTCCTGCACTGTTAGCTTTTACACTAAAACACGTTTTCTTGCTTCTGTTGTAGTACGGAAGAGAGGAGAGCGACTGGACAATCCTCATATCCTGAATGGAGAGTAACAGGGTATCGTAACAGGGGGCGGACTGTTGGATTTGAATTATGAGGAATTTCTTCGGCCATCTATTTTCAGTTGTGCATCATGTAGTTTGTGTTCTCAGTGTTACCAGGGTGACGGCTTCCTCACGCCAGAGAAAATGAATTGCCTTCATCCAATGGTGTTTTATAGACTTGCTCGTAGAAGCTTACCTTACCATCTCTAGAAAGTAGAGGCAGAGAGTGTTCCTTCGTCATCTTGGTGCCTCCCTTAGTACTTCACCCAGATAAAAAGATGTTTATCTTGCAGCATAACTTATGTTCTGCTCCTCAACCAAAGGAGTCTTTTTGTGTTGGAAAGCTGATCTGAGTAAATTTTCACAGGTGTACCATTTCCTGTGACACATCCTCCGAAAATGTTTTTGTTTTTTGGGTGTTTTTTAAATCATGACTTTGAGAAATTGGATTTCCTTCCCTCATATTTCCTTCCAGGCTCCCTAAGTCCTCCTGAAGGTAAATGTCATCCTCCTTCCTGATGCCACAGTCTGCGCCAAGCTCTCCGTGTGCATCCGTAGGGGCCACCACTGTCCTCTCCACTTGTGTTGTAATCAGTCGGCTGTCAGGTTTCCCTGCGAGACTGAGGGGCTGGTGCCTTCTAGATCTTTGTATCCCTCCCTGCCAGGCACATCATAAGGAATGAATGAACATTTACCTTCTATAGAAGTGTACCTTCTTTGTTTCTATACTACAAAACCTCTGTTAGAATACATGATTGATTCTGAGTTTGTCTCTATGTACCTCATATCTTTATTTTCCACGGACTCCTAAGTTGTTAGGGATACTCAGAGTCATAGTTTGTGGAAGGAATTATTTCTTATTTGAAGACTGTCTTGGAATTGAAATAATAGCTCTCGAGAGGTCATGATACTGTACCAACCAAATGGAAAATGTTAAGTACATATCTGTTAAGTGTTAAATACAAAATAAATCATCATATTTAGTTTTTTTTTTTTCTTCTTTTGGTAAAAAGCAAAGAGGTATGTGCTCTGGTTTTTGTACTTTGGTTTTATAGGTGCTCGTTTCTGTTGAATGGGGATTGAAGAAGCACGTGGTTAGGGGACAGGGAAAGCAATTAGAGATGATATTTTCCTTGTTTAGGAGCTATGAGTGAAAAAATTGGATCCTGGTTTATCTAGGGGAAAGTCAAATCTTGATAGAAAACATTTACCCTTGGAAGGTCGACTCTCAGACATTATATTTTGGTTTCCTTCAGTCCTAATAACTTTCATCTTGCTGATCATATTTCATTCTCTTTTCAGAGCAAGGAAAAAAATTCTAAAAGTTTGACGTGCTGGAAAAATTTCCTTGAGGCATTAAGCAGCACACAGCAAATGGGGCTTTGATTTTTTTCCAAGACTTTTGGCCAATGGGGTCTTTTTAGATAGGAATGGCAAAATGAAAATGAGGGAAGTATAAGATGAAAAGGAATGGTAAAAATATCTTTTAGGGGACTTTTAATTGGTGATCTGAAGTCTTAGGAGAGTCTATTCTTTTCTGGCCTGAAGTATTTTCACTGTCCTCTGCACACGCTCACCAAGTAGTGTTCTAAGGGTATGTGTTTGCCGTGGCTAAATCTGTGACCCCATTTTCAATATTGTAGTCTAGAAAAGACTTCAGGTATAATTCTTATCTGTCAAGTAGCATACAATAACCAGACTCACATTCCTATGAGAAATGGAAATCATTCGTTTGCCACAAATACATTTTATACTTTACATCTCTAAATTTAGTATGGCGAGACATGTTCGTTGTAAAAGTTGGAGAACAGTATGTCTTGACATTATGTCTCTGATTTCTTTCAACAAACCTTAGGAGCCTTTTAAGCCCTTTCTACCAGACTGAGTCAAGATGAAGGATGTACATTTTTTAAAAAGCTGAAGTTCCCCTAAACTGGAGAACACAATCTGTCATTCTCGTTTAAGTAATAAGGCAGGAAATTGACCTTGACACTAACTTGTTAAATAGATTTAAAAGGAACATCTGCACATCTTTTTTTCTTGTGCACTATTTGTTTAATTGCAGTGGATTAATACAGCAAGAGTGGCAGATTATAACCAGGCAATTATCCATTCTTCGAGACTTGGTTATCGTAACACTAATTGATCATTTAAGGCGTAAGATAGTCTAGCATTAGGAACATGTGAGGCTAATCTGCTCAAAAAGATCAACAAATTAATATTGTTGCTGATATTTGCATAATTGGCTGCAATTATTTAATGTTTAATTGGGTTGATCAAATGAGATTCAGCATTCACATGTGCATGAATATAAACAGAACTGGTGGCACTTAAAATGATAATGATTAACTTATTTTGCATGTTCCCTTCCTCCCACTTTTTTTTTTTTTTCAGTTTTTACATTTCAGACCAAGTTTGTCAGCCTTTTTCAAAACACGTTAGTAGAACCAAGGTTTTAACATGAAGCGTTAGGCACTGGACAAAAACCTGAGCACTTCCTAAAGATGTTTCCGAAAGCTATTTGCTATTAGCAATTTTCTTTCTTCTAGTCACTTATCAAGGACTCAACTCACGACACACCAAAAGAAAAGCCCATTTCACGGATGTGTATCATGCTCCCCGGGCCCTGCAGCTGGCAGGAGTGAATAAACTAATAATGTCTGTTTTAGCCTTTGCTTTCAAAAGTACAAAGGAAAAGAGAAAGAGAAATGCATGGCTAAGAAGCCTTGTTAGGGAATCTCTGTTTTTCCTACATCTATTTTCTCAAAAGATTGTCACAAGTAAAAAGATCAGAGGCAGCAGCAAGAAAGTGTAGCGTAACACCAAGTATATGACTTGATGGGTTCAGCCCTCCTGAGGACACGGGAAGCCTACATTACATACCCTGGGTTAGAATTGCTCATGTCAGTTTTGTTACTTGATATAATTGTGCCCAAACACGCAGTCTTAGCTTTGCTCAAACCAAGCACTCTTGGACACTTGAAGGCAATTAATGAGTATATCTTGGTCAAAAGACTTGTCGGAGTCTTTTATTAAAGCTACAGTTTCAGCTCTGCTTTAGGGAGTTTGTGCTGTAAAACCAGCTGCCAACACAAGCTTATTTCTTTTTCCCATTCCCACTCAGTGCCCAATCACTGTATTCTTTTTCCTTAAAAAGTTCCTTTTTAAAATTATATGTTCAGTTTACCCTTATGATTGGGAAGAATGTATCTGAAGCAGAAAATGACAGCATTCGTTCACTTTCAATGAATGATATTTTCTAGTACTTAGAGCAATAAATATTCATGGGATGCACTACAGCTTAGGGGTTAGAGAAACACTGGAAGGAGAATCCCTGATTTCATGTCCTGATTCTCAGTATGATCAAAGAATGACTTCCTTGTAATGTGCATTTCTTCGGTGGATATGTGAAAATTTGTTAATAAATAGTAATCCTGGCAAGTAATTTTTGTAGGTACTTTATAACACCCGTCACTTTGTTTTGCCACAAGCAGAATGTGTTCAACTGTTTTAAAAATATCTGCCCTTGCAAAAGGAGGCAAAGAGTACCACCCTTTCATTAAGTGTTATTTATTAATTGACAAAGAACACAGAGATCATAGTTAATTTGATCAGTTAACTTGGTAAGTGTAGAGCGAGTACCCACAAATCTATGTCTAACACAACGCACACAGTAGGGATTAGGAAGTTAGTTTTAGGAAATAAACAGTAGGTAGACATTACCCTCATGGAGTTCTCACTCCTACTTAAACCAAGTTTTAGATAGAAAAGTAGTATTTAATGTAGTTAGATAATAAGACAAAGGCTAGAGCACATCTGTATTCAAGAAATCACAACGAACATTTTCATCTCATTTTAAAAAATGTGTCCTTTTTTCCATTCCTTTCTTTCCTCCCATGCAAAACTACTGAGTAGGTTAGCATTGAGGGGTTGTTGGTGTGAATTACCTCCTGGTTTACTGCTCACTGCAAACCTGGTATGTTCGTTCACTGTTCTTTTGGAGCAATGTTAAGTTGTCATGGTACATCTGACAAAAGAGCACCTCAAATGACAGCATTCTTGCTGATCTTCTTAAACTCAAAGTCAAGTAGTATTGACATGAACAAAATGTCCCTAGACTGAGTTTTTCTGGGAATTGTCATTTATGACTCAAACTGTTTAGACTGTTAGCTTGAAAATGATGGATGCAGCTACTCAGAAAATAGCAGGTGAAAACTAACGTTAGCAGTTTTTCACAGTTTGAGGTTTCAAAAGAAAGGCCATTTAAAGAATTGCAAAGAGATTCTTTCCTATCATTGCCAAAAAGCTCCTTTAAAAATACAAAGGTAGAAGAAAGCGGTTTTTCATTTTCTGCATCCATGCCGTAGTAAAAGACTTCTCAGGTATTAATTTGAGGAGGTGACAAAGAAACATCAACAGAATATAGAAGTGTTTGTGGGTAAATAATCCCCTGGGATCAGATATACATAAACATATTTGCTCGAGTGAATGATAAAGGCATGAAATCCAGTCTTTGGAAATGAGGTGGTCTTTGAAATCTACTGGATACATGTATTAAAGTTTTAAATAATCTTTGTATCCTTTCTTCTGAAAGTATATTTTTCATACCATAGTAGTCTGATCAATAAGGCCTAAGACTTGAGTTTTACAGTGTTCAATCTATGGAATCCACTGTTGGGATGGTAAAAGTTGTGAACTGTGATGTAGGAATGAATTAAAATGTTGATTTTGGAGAGAGGGCATAGCTCAAGTGGTAGAGCACATGTTTAGCATGCACGAGGTCCTGGGTTCAATCCCCAGTACCTCCTCTAAAAATAAATAATAAACCTAATTACCTCCCACCCACCCCCAAAAAAAGAATACCCCCCCATGTTGATTTAATTGACAGATTTCTCTGCACATCCACTATCACAAAGGCTGTGTTCCTTGTTACCCATCACTGAATGAAGAAAATTTTCTTTAGAGAATATGTCAGAGGAAGAACAACTAGAAGTAGAGAAAGAAAGGAAAAATAGGAAGAAAAAAAATTCAAACTTGCTTCTTTGTTGTCCAAGGGAGACTTTTTCCTCTTTCTGCCAACCATAGGGAGCTTCAGGTTTCAACATAGGTGCCAAGTACAAAGAGTGCCAACTGGGAATAAAAATACAGTGGCCTGGTCATCAGATATTAGGATCCAGCCATGATCTTGAGATAAAGATCTGACGGTCATGTTACATGGAAACCACTTTAGATTACTACCAATTTGGAGAAGACTTTAGAATTGCATAGTTTATAAGATCTCTGATGTCATTTCTTCAACTGTTGTAAGATTTGTGAATCTTCTTGAGCCTGAAGTGGCAAGGAGTAGACAGTGACTTGTTTTTCCCCTTGGAAATACTATTTGCCATCATTTCCCTTTCCTTGGTGAAGGTTAACTGATTGGGAAATAAGCTGAATATTATCATTTCATTTTTAACTAAAATGTGCAACGGTTCCCCCCAAGCTAATTTCAGAATGGTCATTAAAGCCATTCTCAGGGTCGAGAAAGAAATGCAGGTACCTGATTCAATTTCTACCTTATTGATACGTTTTTGAAGAGTGTTGGACTTCTCTCAAGAGTATGGCTATAAGTAGATCTGAATGAAGTCTTAAAGATAAGCCAGCTCGTCCGTGTGCATCTGTAAG